GCATCATTTGAGACAATACCTCCTCCACATATAGGTTGAAAGCTCAACTAAAAGTTGTCACACCAAAATCCCACAGAGCACTATTTATATAGAATGTTGTGCTACTTCCATTGTTAAGTGTTTGAATCCTAACCTCCATGTTGACTGACTTTGAGCCCGCCCCTCAAACTCCCAGGTTCCATAAAAAATTCAACTACTACTATCCTTATTTCAATATTTCAACTACGTCTCATTTCAACATATGGCCAATGGTCTTCTATTTTTGCTAATTAAAATAAGCAGACTGAAGAGCTTCTTAAAATGCAGATCCCATGGCTCCAACTCATTTTTCTTTTTTAAGTTGCAAAGATGTGCTGCAAAGGTTGAAAACTACTGAATTCAGCCAAAAATGTGATCAATAGAGAATGCATCAGATTCTACTATAATCGTGAAACAAATCAATTTGTAGGTTGGAGACCTAAGGGAAAAACCCACATTTTTAAAAAGCTCCCTCAGTGTTTATTATGCACTATTTGAAAAACACTACCATGGAAGAGGCATTACACCCTTGGCCTCTGGCTACATCTCCTTAATGCTCTTGGCCTCACTATATAATATACTGGGTAGCCACAATGGAACTACTCTGACAAAGAAACATAACTCAATCAAATTATTGCCTTAGCATATAACATACATTTATTTCCAGGTTTATTATGCACATGTGTTTAAATATCCAGGGCTATTCCCACCTACTCAAACAAAAATAAAAATTCTTCAGTATCAATTCATGTACGTATTTCGAAACAAATCTGAAGGGCTATTCTTTTATTCACTAAAAAACCATGAACATTTATATTTACAACAGAAACAAACTTCTAAAAAAAACAAAAGAAACTCGAAGTTTTAAAACAAAATAGCATCGCATATAAACATTGCCCCAATTTACCTAAACAAAGTATTTTATAATTACTTGATACAACTACTAAAGCTAGAATGACATTTAGATGTTTTTATAATCTTATCATTTTCCCAAGAAAGCAAAATTTACTCTAAGTAACTGTATTAAAAAAATATTCTAATTAAAATCTCCACTTCACGCCAATGCAAACTGAATCCACAGATAAAGACTGGTATACTGCAGTACTAAAATGTTTAATATAGTAAGTGGAACAACCTAATATAAAAACAATCACAAGACAGTCATAAGAGACAATCTCATAAATTTTTCCACTAACACTGTAACTTATTGTGATGTGTCCAAAAGCTATAAAACTGTGTTAAGTAGAAAACTTCAACCTAGTAAGTACTATCATGAAAATGGTTCAATATTACACTCTATACTATGGTAAAGGTAAAGATAAACCTAAATGTATTTAAGACACAGCATAAAAATGTATTTGTTATGGCTGTCAAAAATACTTTATGCTATAGGAGTGAAAATTAACATGTTTAATTTATAATTACCAGAGCTGTTATCAAAGAACTTGACTTCTAAGAAGAAATAAGGTATGAAATAAAAATGACAACTTCTAGTTGAAGTGCTGACATATCCTTGAAACTCTTAAAAATATGTTCATGTCATAAAATTATGATAAAGTTGAAGGCTAACAAAGAAAAACATGCCCAGACATGTGTGTTCTCCCTCATATTTTATTACATTTAAAAAAATTATTTTTCAAGACACAAAATATCGAAATCAGTTTTTACTTTATACTTCAAAGTCCATACTATTACTTGTGTTGGAGTATTTCTAATAGGAATATTAGAAAGAAATGAGAGGTAGCATCTTAAACCAAGTAAACTGCTTTATACTAATTACTCTTACTACTTGGGCAAACTGAACACTTACCATTTGATTCCTCCCTTTAAACTGAACAGTGAAAAAAGAGAAAGCACATAAGAGGGCCTAATTTCAAAGCTTTTAAAAACAAAAACAAACATTAAATTTAACAATTTTTTCCAAAGACAGTTTTCAAAGTAAATGAAGAATAACTAATACAACAATTACCTCAATGTTTCTTCTATTAACAGAAAATAATCAAGACCTATAAAGAGGTTTTGTTAATATTTCTTTAGCACTTGATTAGCTTGTATTAACAAGCATTTTGAAGCTAGGAACCAAATAAAACTGATACCAAAATGATGAAAAACTTTTGTCTATCCATAATTTCTAATACCAAAAAAATCTAAAAATCTGGCAAAGACTATATTTCCCCTAAATATTTAAATGCATTGTTACATACTATTTTACATATGGTTCCTCTTCAGAAAATTAAGACTATAGTAACTTTGTGGCCTAACAAGAATATTAATCAAAAACAAAAACAAAAAACAAACAAAAAAACCCAGCACCAACTCTCCAGCCTAGGGTTCAGCAAACTTTTTCTGTACAGGGTCAAAGAGTAAGTATCTTAGGTTTTATAAGTCACAGATACTCTAATATTCTTTTATTTTCCTTATCCATTAACTCTCTAAAATGTAAACACCATTCTTAGCTCTGTGTTAGAGTGGTATGAAACTGCGAACTGGTCCCAGGCTATAGTTTGCTGACTTCTGCTCTAGCGAAATTAATCTTATGATGCTTCAAATATGCAACATATACTTTACTTGAAAACAAAGATATCTTAAAATATATCATCTACATTTTCTAAGAGTATAATCCGGTGAAACAATAAATGATCTATTTTTGAAATGCTTCAATAAACCCACCATGAGTATTTTATGTAATTCATTTATTCTCAAAGTTCATCGGTAATTTATAAAATTTTAGACACCATGAAATTAATTTTAAACATACAAATGTTTTAGAAATTAAAATAAGAATTTGCAGTATTTCAATTTTAAATTGTAGCAACATTTCCAAATAATTTTTGAATAGAAAAGTAAAATTAAAATCTGTCCTTCATTAATTATACCTATATTAAATGCCACTGAACAAATATAAAAAACACTGGTATGAGTTTTAAAAAACTGTGAAATAATTTCAAAGAAAAGAGTCTGCAGACAAATTTATGATATAGCCACTTAAATGTAACAGCAGAATACATTTTACTTAATCATTTCCTTCTAGTCCCCTAAATGATTTATGCATGACATTACAAATGGCTACACATGTGCCCCAAGAACGTGAAGTCTGTGCCAAAAAAATATTAAGAAAGCTAATTCCACCAACTTTAACTATAAGCAAGCACTTTAGGAAAAGAAATGTTCAGGTACATGTAAGGACAAGGAAGAATTTCCTAATCCTCAATGGAATGAAATAAAGTTTCCCTAAGGAAATGTATCATATATGGTTTACATCTTGATTATATTTAAAATTAAAAACTTAGTTACTAGTTTCCAAAATATGGGCCAAAAAAATTTTAATTACATACTTTCATATCATAAAACATCCTCACATTGATAAATCCAACAGATTTATGTTACACATATAACAACCAAAAGCCCTAAGACCACATTTAAAATATGTCATAAGCAAACACTATGTATCCAAGTAGGAAAAAGAGAATTGCAAAATGATACTAAAAATGCTAGAAATTAGAAGAAAATTTGCAATGCTTGAAAACTCATTTGGTAATGGAATTTAAAATCAATTAAATTAAACCTTTAGTATGACTTATAAATAATAAGAAATTTCTCTAATTGAATTTAAATGCCACATAATTTTTAGTCAAAGGATATTTACTTGATGCAGGCTAAGATAAACATTTCTTGTTATTATACAAGTTAGGATGTATTTTACTGTGTATTCTTTTTTAGAAAGAAAGTTTAAAATATTTCTTGGGACAGAAGAATGGGGACAGAGGTCAGCAAAAGAGTCACTGACTTGAATTAATACTGTTAGCCTCAGAAACTTATTAACTTGGCTTTTGAATAGTTAGGGAAAAAAAAGCCAGTAAGTATTTCTCAGAATAATAACTATTAAAATAGCATTCATCTAAGGTGAATAATAAGACTCTTTGTTAGTTCACATTAAGAACTTGGGGATTTTAACATATTTGAATTACCCTTGTTTGCCCTACCATTTTGCCTGCCCAAAACAAAAACCTGAGTCAGACCAAATCTTTAGAACTAACTCCAGTTTATGAGAAATTCAGGGATAGAGAAACTTGTTAAACATCACTGCATGGATAAATTCAACAAGACCCAGGATGTGAGAAACAAGGGTCTGTTTTCTTAAAAAATTAAGGAAAAAACTTAAAAGGTGAAGAGAAAACCTACAGACTAAAAACACTGGATTTATCAGCCAATTTGAACCAATTGTAAAGAAAATAAAAACCTTTATAAAACCTGAACAAATGTGGGCTTTTACTAGTTAATATTAAAGAAGTGACAATTTTTAAGATATGACAAAGATAGTTTTAAAAAGAGTCCTTATCTTCTAGGGATACATACTGAAATACTTATTAATGAAATCATATAAAGCCAGGGATTTAATAAAAATAATTCGGGAAAGTAGCTATACTTAAAGATGAAAAGATCAGCTGTGTGTTGATAACGGTCATGATTGGGTAATGAGCACATACTGGTCTACATTTGTATATATCTAAAATCTTCCAATATAAAGAATTTTTATTTCATTTTTAAGTTTGTTTATTTAAATCATCTCCACACCCAACGTGGGGCTTGAACTCCCAACCCCAATATCAAGAGCTGCACGCTCTTCCAACTGAGCCAGCCAGGTGCCCCTAAAGAATTTTTAATATCAATGAATGTTGAAAATCAATCAAGTAGAGATGAAAGATTTACCAAGAGTTCTTTTAATTTAGAACCATATATTTAAAAAAAGATAAAAATGGAGAAAATTTTAACATCCTTTTCATAAAACATTAATAGTATCTTCAGAAACTACTTTTAAGTTATTACCTGTAAGAGGTTAAGAAAATCATTAGTTTAACATAAACAAACATGACAAATTCAGAAAGATTAAAAAATATATAAACCAATATCCAAAGAATTCTAAAGATGCATTGTGCACCTGACAATATAAAATAATTTTAGTTAACTAGTATTTTACTTACATTTTCCATATAGTTTGGCTTAAAGCCCTCTTGTTGTCGCCTCAGTTCCTCCTGTTCTCTGTGTCGGATCATTTCTTCCTCACGGCGTCGATGCTCTTCCTCATGTCTGAAAGATTTTCAAATAAAAATTTCAGCCTGGTTGACATGTAAGCCATGATCAGGTATTTTATTCCAGGTAAAACAAAATCATTTACACAAGTTACTTTATACAAAATCTGTACATGATGACTGACTTACTAGATTTACTTTCCTTCTTCTAGTTTGCTCTAAGCCTTTAATAAATCAAATAACCCAAAGAAATAAAGTAACTAGGATAAATCAAAAAACAGAGTAATAACATGTAACTAAGAGTTAATATGCTTACAGTCAAGAAATCAGGAGTCCAAAAGCTCAAACATGTATTCTATTACTGCATAAAGAGAAAAGCCTGGGATCTATCACTGGCATAGTAGAGTTCTTAAAGGCACTAAGAACCAATCCCGATATAAGCCACTACAAAGAACAACACTGCCTAGTCAAAAAAAATCTATTAAGTGTCAAAGGAACCCTTAACAAACCCTCTCTCCCCCATTTTATCAACCCACTGAGGAAAACCTCTGGAACAGGTGTCAGCCTACCATCTGTTTTTGTAAATTAAGTTTTATAAGACAATCATCTATTTAATGTCTATAGCTACCTTTGGGCCGGAGCAGTGCTGAGTAGTTGAGACAAAGACCATATGACCTGCAAAGCCTAAAATGTTTACTATTTAGCTCTTTCCCTGAAAAAGTATGCCAACCTCAGCCCTAGAGGCATGTGGGAGGAAAAAATATTGAACTATATATATGTGTGCAGAATTACAAATAAGTCAGTAATTACTTATGATTAAGAGAAAAAAACCTACAAAATATTATTAAATACACTCACATTATATTGGCATGTATGTCAATGCATATTCAAGTATATATGCCCTCTACTCAAAAACAAAAAACATTACTTCAGGAGTGCTTGGGTGGCTCAGTCGTGAAGCGTCTGCCTTCAGCTCAGGTCATGATTCCAGGGTCCTGGGATCGAGCCCCGCACTGGGCTCCCTGCTCTGCAGGAAGCCTGCTTCTCCCTCTCCCACTCCCCCTGCTTGTGTTCCTGCTCTATCTCTCTCTGTCAAATAAATAAATAAAATCTTTAAAAAAAATTATTTCAATAGTGAAGACTATATAATACTGATGCGCTCCCATTAAGTGTCATTTTCTGTTGCTCTTATAAGTACCTTCCTACACTAAGTGTAATACTTGAATTTCAAGATACTGTTGTTTCCTGTATATGTCTCCCCTAAACACAAGTCCATGAACTAAAAAAAAATGGTGTTATTTCCCACAGCAGAAAACCTAGCTGTTAGAGGAGTTTGGGTCAGACCACAAAGTAACAATGTTCCTAAGGGATTTTAAGCAAAATCTAGACTATTTTGCGATTTTTGTCTAAGTCCCCAATATACATTTCTATTCAGGTAAACTGAATATTCAAATAAAATGGTTAATCCACTTCTTGGACATTAACACTCATAAATTTTATGGTAAAGAAAATATTTTCATAGTCACACATCTGAAAATGTACACAGGTACAGGTAAAAATCCTGTATTCAAAAACTCCACTACTACGTATGTTTCTAAACTGATTTTTCCCGATTTCAAAAAGGGTCCATATACTATTATTATACCACTAACAGGATCTGGGACAGGACCCAGTAATCAACCACACTGGTATTTCTGCAGTAAGATGAAGATTAACATTTGTGAAAATAGTAAAGGTCTGACATGACCCCAACATAAATGCAGGTCAGGTTTTGTCATCAAATAGGCTCATATCAGATCCTGCCACTAAATGTTACATGAAAAGGCTTTTGGTTTTCAAATTTGTATACTCCAAATAAGTTTTTTCTCTCTAAATATACTTTCTTAAGCCAGTTTTGTCAATCTTATAAGGTGAAACAAAAAAGCAGAGTCCAAACCATCTGGCTTGTTAACAGTTAAAGCTGTCTTATGTATGGTAGGAGCCACAGTCAGCTGTATTTCTTCAATTTAACCGCTGTAGTTTTATTTGCTTTGTCTTGAAAGTACAGGATATTTTTGACAATTATTGGTATAAGTTCCTAAACACATTCAGTCTTTCTTGGTCTTTCATGAACTTGACATTTTTTCTTTTCCTGCGGCAGATAGGTTTCACTGACCCGGGCCTGGGGCAGACCGGAATCCTCACCCACAGCAGGGGGTGGAAGTGAGGTTGCAAATAAAATGTGATTTGTGGTAGAACTGCAGGTTTTGGCTATGCTGAGAGCCAAGGGCCTGGTTAGCTGGTAGCTGCAAAGTTTGACTTTTCTGTTGACTGTATCTGCAGGTGCAGCAGGAAAGGCAAAGCCTGACTTTCCTGCTGGTTGCATCTGCAGAAGGAAGTAGCAGGGAGGCAAGGAGTCCAGAAGCTGGATTCGTGGGGCACAGGGAGGAAGTCCAGTCTGTTGGTTACCACGTTCCATCTGCTTTTTTAAGTACAAGGCACCACGAGGCTGGAGGACCTCTGTCTGGGTGGGTGGGCTAAAAGTGGCCAGGCACAGCCTCATGTAAAACTTTTCTTGAGCTGCAAGAAAAGCTAGTGGTTTCTCTTCCTGTAGGGCCAAAAGCTTCTCCTGCAATTTCAGGATGTGTTCCATGGTCTCCTCTAGTGACATTCTCTCTTCCAACTCCTTTTTCTTCTCTCCTGCTCTTCCTTCATCTTTTGTTCGATCATCTTGTACACCTCTCCTTCCTCCGATAGACCACATTCCTAGCTCCATCATGATGTGCCAGTGCAATACCCAGGCCATGGCACTGGAAAACTTGGGGCATTCCAGGAATGCAGGCATGGTGCTGCTAGGGATACTTGGGCCATGGGAGCCCTGCTCTGTCACTGACTACCAGAACTTGGACTGGACCTGTGGGGCAGCAGGTTCTCAGGGGGTACCATGCCCAGCCGAGGCAGAAGCCCACTGACATGCCATAGTCAGGTGTCTAATACTTGTCACCACAACCTACCAGCCTGGCAGGAGAGGTCTACCATGTGCACAGAGCCAGGCAATAGTCTCCAGCCTGGGCGCTCAGCACACCTTCCTCCCCATTAGCCTCAGAGTGAGCTTGACACTTTTTTTTTTTTTTTTAAGATTTTATTTATTTATTTATTTATTTGAGAGAGAGAATGAGAGCGAGCACGAGAGGGAAGAGGGTCGGAGGGAGAAGCAGACTCCCTGCCGAGCAGGGAGCCCGATGTGGGACTTGATCCCGGGACTCCAGGATCATGACCCGAGCCGAAGGCAGTCGCTCAACCAACTGAGCCACCCAGGCGCCCGAGCTTGACACTTTTTTAAAGACAACTGATTATTTTGTACAATGTCTTTCAATCTGGGTTCATGTTTTATTTCCTCATGGGCTAGCCTGAGGTTATGAATTTTTTGCCAAAAATCCCCACAGAAATGACAATGTATCCCTCTGACTGCATCATATCAAACAGGTGATATGAACCTTAATACTTGGTAATGGTGGTGTCTATTGCTTCTCCACTTTAAATTTACTGTTTTTCCATTTGTACCTAATACAAATGAGTATGCAAATTGTGTTTATCAAGTTTCAGCAAAAACTGGAGCATCTGTCAGTAAATCTTGTCTGTAACAATTATTACTACTATTAACCCACTGGTGATCTTCTCTCATTCCTTCTGTACTGATTAACTGGAATTCTATACTATAAGGAAAAGTCGTCCATTCTCTTCCATTTATTCATTCATTCAATTATTTACTTCTATCAGTATGGACTCACGGATATGTACTTTATTCTACAGTTTAAAATCTAATACTATACTGTTGTTGAAACTGTTACAACTTTGGCCATTTAGGAGCACCTTCAGTTTGCCTGTGTACTTTCAATACGCCCCATCTTTTTTTTTTTTAAGATTTTATTTATCTGACAGAGAGAGAGACAGCGAAAGAGGAAACACAAGCAGGGGGAGTGGAAGAGGGAGAAGCAGGCTTCCCGCTGAGCAGGGAGCCTGATGCAGGGCTTGATCCCAGGACCCTGGGATCATGACCTGAGCCAAAGGCAGATGCTTAACAACTGAGCCACCCAGGCGCCCCAGTATGCCCCATCTTTTATGAGTACAGGCCTACTTCATTTTATTCAGCTTTGCCTTACTGTGCACTTCAGATACAGTGGGGGGTTTTTTGTTTTGTTTTATTTTTACAAATTGAAGGTTTGGGTCAACTCTGCATCAAGCATTGCCCCATTTTTCCAAATGCATTTGCTCACTTTGTGTCTCTGTGTCAGTTTTGGTAGGTAACTATCACAATATTTCATTATTATTATTATATCCGTAACGGTGATGTTTGATGTGTTACTACTATAATTGTTTTGAGATGCCACAAACCACACCCATATAAGACCAAACATTATCAGTAAATACTATGTGTGTTCTAACTGCTCCATCAACAAGCTATTCCCCCATCTCTCTCCCTCTCATCTGTCTCCTTCTCCTTGGGCCTCCCTACTCCCTAAGACACAACAATATTGAAATTAAGCCCATGCCTAGTCCTAGAATGGTCTCTGAGTGACCATGCAGTGAAGAGCTCCATGTCTCTCACTTTAAATCAAAAGCTAGAAATGATTAAGCTTAGTGAGGAAGGCATGTCAAAAGCCGAAAAAGGCCAAAAGCTGGGCCTCTTGCACGAAAGAGCCAAGTTGTGAATGCAAAGGAAAAGTTCTTCAGGGAAACTGAAAGTGCCACTCCAGTGAACATACGAATAAGAAAACAAAACAACCTTGTTGCTGAAACGGAGGACTTTTAAGTAGTCTGCATAGAAGATCAAACGAGCCTCAATACTCCCTTAAGCCAAGACCTAATCCAGACCAAGACCCTAATGCTATTTAACTGTATAAAAGTGGAAAAAGCAAGGAAGCTGCAGAAAAGTTTGAAGCCAGAGAGATCCAGAAGCTGCCATCAAGTTACCCAGAAGATCTAGCTTAGTTAATTAATGAAAGTGGGTACACTAAACCACAGATTTTCAATGTAGATTAAATAACCTTATACTGGAAGAAGATGCCATCTAGGACATTCATAGCCATGAGAAGTCAATGCCTGGATTCAAAGGACAGGCCGACTATCTTGTAAGGGGCTAACGCAGCCTGGTGACCTAAAGATGAAGCCAATGCTCACCGACCATTCTGAAAATCCTAGGGCCCTTAAAAATTATGTTCAATCCACTCTGCCTGTGCTCTACACATAGAACAACAAAGGCTGGATGACAGCACATCTACTTACAACACGACTGAATATTCTAAGCCCACTGCTGAGATCTACTGATCTGTAAAAAAAGATTCCTTTCAAAATATTGCTGCTCCTTGACAATATGCCTGGTCACCCAAGAGGTGTGATGGCGATATACAACAAGATTAATGTTGTTTTCATGCCTGCTGACACAACATCCATCCTGCAGCCCCACAGATCAAGGAGCAATTTTAACTTTCAGGTCTTATTATTTAATAAATACATTTCATAAGGCTATAGCTGCCTTAGACAGTGATTCCTCTGATACATCTGGGCAAAGCAGAATGAGAAACTTCTAGAAAGGATTCACCATTCTAGATGCCATTAAGAACATCTGTGCTTCATGGGAAGCACGGGAAGAGGTCTAACTATCAACATTAACAGGAGTTTGGAAGAAGTTGATTCCAACCTAACCCTCATGGATGCCTTTCCGCTGAGGGGTTCAAGACATCAGTGGGGGAAGTAACTGCAGATGTGGTGGAAACAGCAAGCAAACTAGAAGCGGGGCCTGAAGATGGGACCACACTGATGCAATCCCATGATAAAACTTTAACGAATGAGGTGCAAAGAAAGTGGTTTCTGGAGATGGACTCTACTCCTGGTGAAGATGTTGTGAAGACTGCTGAAATGACAACAAGGAACTTAGCATATCACATAAATGTAGTTGGTAGCACATCAGCAGGGTTTGAGAGGACTGACTCCCAATTTTGAAAGAAGTTCTACTGTGGGTAAAATGGTATCAAACAGCACCACATGCTATAGAAAAATCTTGCCTGCAAGGAAGACTACTCATGCGGCAAATTTCAATATCATCTTATTTTAAGAAATTGCCACAACCACCCCAACCTTCAGCAACCACCAACCTGATCAGTGTTTTTTTAATTAAGGCATGCACATCCTTTTAAACATAATGCTATTTCACACTTAATGAACTATAATTTATAGGTGTGAATATAACTTGTATGTCCTGGGAAACCGAAGAATTCATTTGACACACTACTGTGACATTCACTTTACAGCACTGGTCTAGATCTGAATCTGCAGTATCTCCAAGGTACGTCTATGAGAGGGTTTGAGAGGATTCCTATTCTGAAAGAAGTTCTACTGTGGGTAAAATGCTATCAAACAGCACCGCACGCTACAGAGAAATTGTTTGTGAAAGAGAGTCAAAAACTGTCACAGCCTTCCCAATCTTCAGCAACCATCACCCTGATCAGTCAGCAACCATCAACATCAAGGAAAGACGTTCCACCAACAAGAAGATTACAACTCACTGAAAGCTCAGATGATGGTTAGCACTTTTTATCAATAAAGTGTTTTTTCTTTAAGGTGTGTACATTTTTCAGACATAATGCTCTTGTACACTTGTTACATTACAACACAGTGTTAACATAACTTTTACATGCACTGGGAAGCCAAAAAATTCATTAGATACACCTTATTTCCATATTTGCTTTACTCCAGTGGTCTTATACCTAACCTGCAGTATATCAGAGGTACACCTGTACTTTCTTATTCCCTGGCACAACATTCCAGGCTCATCCTGGACTTTTTAGTCCAGGAATCAACCACTTCTCCACAAAGCCTTAGTTTCTTTTATTAGAGAATGGTGTTTGAAACAAGAATCTGGGCCCTAATAATGTGCTCCCTGTTACTGAGGCATTGCATCACTGCTTCTAGGTAGACAGGAGTTATGAAATGTATGTATGTATGTGAACCCACATATATACACACATCTATATTTCTCTAAGTTAAATACCACTGAGTTCTATTGTTACCCCTGATCCCAATTCAACACCACAGGATTCATTTTAGTTTTAGCCTTTCTTTTTTCTTTCTCCAACAATGAGAAACCTGCGTTTCATTATTATTTACTAATTTGTTCACTCAAAAAAGTATATGCATTCTTTTCATTAAAGACCTGATCAAAATAGGAAAAAAGTACATACAAAAAATAGTTTCAGAACTACTAACCCATATCCCTGTGAGAAACACATTAGATTACAAAATATATTGCTTTTCTTGGAATTGGCCTGTAGTGTCAAGATAGTGTTTTCCAAAGTTATTTAGGTTCCTTATTTTCTTCCTCATCCCCTTTCAGAGTATTAATGTTATTCACTTGCAATGCAATTATGTTCACTTGTTTGTTTGTTTTTTAAAGACTTTATTTTTAAGTAATCTCTACACTCATTCTGGGGCTCGAACTGACAACCCCAAGAACAAGTTGCATGCTCTACTGACTGAGCTAGCCAGGCACCCCCATTTTTATGTGGGTTTTTTTTTAATGCCCTCTTAACTGGTTCTCCCACATTGTCTGGTTAAATTATTTATTTTTTTGAGAAGTGAAGGGTAGAGTACTAATTCTAAAAGCCTAGCTGTCAAATATAAGGGAAAATGGAGTCAGAGTTTTATACTTGGGAGGGAAGGTTTCCTTTTCTTTGTACAAGTAGAACAGACTTTAACATACTTACATAAAAAGGAAAAAAAACAACGACAAAGAAATTGGCAAAAGATCCCTTGTGTAAGGAGATATGGGAAGTTTTACATAATAGTGGTTCTCAAACTTTATGATGCATACAAATCACCTGGAAGATTAAGCACAGGTGGCTGGCCTCCACCCATATAGTTTCTGATTCACCGGCTGGGGAAGTGGAGGCTTATAATTGGAATGCTGAAGCTGTCTGTCCAAATATCATAATTTGAGAAGTAATTTAGAGTAAAATGAGAGTAGTTGCAAGACAGAAACATTCATTGATATAAGCAGGTACAAAATTAGAAAAAATACATTAAAATATACTGAATACTACCTATCTCCAGGCCATAAAGACACCTGACATTTATTCAAGGCTTTTTGCTTTTTTTTTTTTTAAATGTTTTATTTATTTATTCATAAGAGTCAGAGAGAGAGAGAGGCAGAGGCAGAGAGAGAAGCAGGCTCCCCGCCTAGCAGGGAGTCCGATGTGGGACTCGATCCCAGGACCCTGGGATCATGACCTGAGCTGAAGGCAGACGCTTAACCATCTGGGCCACCCAGGTGCCCCTGCCTTCTTTTTTATTTTTTTATTTCCCATGAGCACCTTACTTCCTACCACAAGCACTTACTACTTTTATAACACTTTATTTATTTTTAAAAGATTTTGTTTATTTGACAGAGAGAGAGACAGCAAGAGAGGGAACACAAGTAGGGGGAGTGGGAGAGAGAGAAGCAGGCTTCCCACTGAGCAGGGAGTCTGATGTGGGGCTCGAGCCCAGGATTGTAGGATCATGACCTAAGCCCAAGGCAGATGCCCAACAACTGAGCCACCCAGGCACCCCTTTTATAACACTAAAAAACAAAACTTTGAGGGGTGCCTGGGTGGCTCAGATGGTTAAGCTGGGCTCCCAGCTCAGCAGGGGTCTGCTTCTCCTCTCCATGCTCATGCTCTCTCTCTGTCTCAAATGAATAAATAAAATCTTGAAAAAATAAAGAACAAAAAAATTAAAAAATAAAAAACAAAACTTTGGGGCACCTGGATGGAGCAGTTAGTTGAGCATCTGACTCTTGGTTTCAGCTCAGGTCATGACCTAAGAGCGCTGAGATTCAGCCCCATGGCAGCCTCCACGCTCAGTGGCAAGTCTGCTTGATATTCCTTCTCTCCCTCTCCCTCTGATCTTCCACCCCACACTTGCTCTTTTTCTCTAAAATTAATTTAAAAACTTTCTTAAATAAAAAAACAAAACTTTAAGTTTGTTTTAATCTATCATAACTTTGTTCATAACACTTCCTATTATGATTTTTAACAACTTTTAAGAGTAATATTTATCTCATTAGATTTCACAATTAAATATTCCTAGTACAAGAAAAGCTGTTAATTTTTGTTTATATATCTTGGATCAACCACTCCCCCAAAGTCCTTATTTAACCTAGAAGATTTTAAGTTGACCATCACGGTCATCTCTTTTATACTGAGATTTTAAATACCCATACCCCTTTTTATCATGTATTCCACTTCCACAAATCTTTTTTAAGCAAATTATCAGAAGCACAGAGATGTATAAAAGCATTCAGTAGTGTTATACACATGGAAAAACAAAACAAGAACAGTTCAAATATGTCCATCTCTAGAAAAATGATCCAGTAATTCACAGTGCATTCTTACAGCAAATTATATGCAATACCTAAGCCCCTTATGTAAGTTCACAGTGAATGCAATCAAAGTGTCCATAACCAGCTTGGGGGGGAAAAATCATAATACCAAAGAATTATGCTAATTTGTAGAGTAATTCCCAAAGTATAGTAAAGATAGACAATTTTGTTATTTTTTTCTGTATTTTCCAACTTGTACAACTTGTTTATAATAGGCAGTGGGGAATTTTATTAAAAACAATGAAAACTACATATATTCACATATATATTACAATGATGTTCTTTTACCTCAGTTGTATTTGCTTCCGTTTTTGTAACTCTTGGTTTCTGAGTTCTTCCAAGCGTCTGAGTTCTTCTTGACGCCTCATGAGATCTATAAAATATTGATTACACGTTAATATTTTTACCTTCCCTTTTTTTTTTAAATCAATAATCATATAGATTCTCTACTGCTGGCAATATATTTTGCAACTTATTCATACTCATGCACCTCACTTTTTTTGTCTATTATATCATTTTATAATGAAAAATTATAAGCTGTGTAATTAATCAAACTAGTATCTTTTCTGGACCTGTTCCTTCGTATGTATGAAAATAATAAAATTTATCCTTACGTTAAGAAATTAAAATGGGTAGTACTGTTTTAACGTAAGGCCTGGAACATATTAAGAACAGAATAAATGGTAGCTATATTTTCATATACATTCCTTCAAATTAGAATTTTTTTCAGCCACGAATGTAAAGCCCTAAAGGATGCCTTGGGAGACATGAGCAGAGGGCACATAAGAACCAAAACAAACAGTAAGAATAACAGGATACTGTTTAACTTCCAAAGAATACCCCCCTCCCAGTAAATTAGCATAAGATTCCTCCCACACAAAGTCAATTTCTTATGAAAAAAGGCTATAAGAGAATTCTTGGGGGTGGGGGCTGAATTCTGATACTAACAAGATTATTTTAAACAAGATGAGAACTAACCCTTGCCATATCATCAAGAACAGGGAGGGGATCCAGAGTAGTATAAGATTAGAAAAAGTACATTTCTTTTGCCCAAGTGCTAAAAATCTTTGTAATAAGCTTACCAAATTATGTGTATACACACATGGATTAAAAAACATTAAAATACTCTGGATGGCACAATTATTGGTTGTGCTTTTATTTGCCCTTTCTCTTATCACATTATCTGAAATTTCTAATGTGAACATAAATTACCTCAATTGAACATTTCTTAATAAATCACTATTATCAACTTATATAATACTAACAGTTACAGTTATTCTATGTGCCAATAACCCTTATAACCAGAACAAAGCAGGCATCATAACCCTAACAAGGTAAATATTATCGTCCCCATTTTACAGACTGAAAACAGCTGAATTATATATTACTTATGTCAAAGAAAAAAGATTCAGACAGATAATAAATGTATTATAACCATCCAGCTAGGGTAAGGTAGTGATCAGGGGATTCCAACAAGATGCGTGAAAACACTTAGCTACCTTAAAAACCATCAAAAACTACTACAATGATTTCAAACATTGAGACAATTAGTTGTCAACCTTAACTGCTCATGAGAACTACCTAAGTACCTTTTAACCAGACGAATTAAATCAAAATCTCTTGGGATGTAGACATCGGTATTTTTTTTTAAAGCACCCTATTTGACTCCACCGTACAAACATTGAGAACCATACAACTATCAGATAATTACTTTAGCTGGAGAAACCTAGTAGATACCAAAAATATATAATCTACTTATATTCCTAAGGGGAAATGCTTCGATAAGCAAAAATGTGGAAAGTGTACTACGATCATTAATTATCCAAGAAAGTCTATCCAGTATATCCTGTAACAATTCTGTCATGGTTTTGCAGGTTAGCTGCTATTAAATCAGGGACAAATTACCATATATAATGATGTAAAAATGTGCATTACATTTTCTTCCACAAAAAGGAGTAAGAAAAAAACATAAACATTTGTTTTCTGACAACTAGATTTTCTCCCTTTAAACTGTGCCAGTTGAGAAAACTGCTTTAACCTCTCAGATAGTATTTCCCGATCTGTTTGTTGGCGCAAAGAATCCAACAATAAAGTTAATAGATAAGCACATTATGCAATTTAAGTAAGAGCACTATCAACTTAAAGCAAAACTACCATTTTATATTTACTAAATTATTTAAGTTGCTAATATCCAAGGTTCCTGAAATTTCAACAAAGCTTACATATTTGTACACTGCCATAGTAATATCCTTCTGGGGGGAATAAATTACAAAAAAAATACATACATACACATACATATATATATAGCTATATTATATATATATACAGCTATATATATATATACACACAGCTATATATAGCTGAAGTGTTTTCAACCTTTGATCCAGTAAATCAGTCAGAGATTTTTCTTAAAAATATAATCCAAAGGCATCCGTCCATACACGTAAAGACATCAGCTGCAGCACTACTTATTACTAGACCAAAAAACATTTGAAAATGCTTTCCTAATTTAATGACAAAGACCATAAAATTACATCTATATAATATAAATATATGGGAATATAAGGGAATAAAGGGGAATACAGACAAATTTAAAGTTTGATCGGGACTGTGTTTTGTCAATTTAATATCCTTCAAGACATGAAACTTGAACATATACTCTCTGATCTAACAGTCTATTTTCCAGAAATATAGGCACTGAATCTACATTTTTTAAACATTTTGTTTAGTTATTTGACAGAGAGAGCGTGCACAAGCAGGGGGGAGCGGCAGGCAGAGGGAGAGGGAGAAGCAGGTTCCCTGCTGAGCAGCGGGCCCAATGTCAAACTCGATCCCAGGACCTTGGGATCATGACCTGAGCTGAAGGCAGACGCTTAACCAACTGAGCCACCCAGGTGGCTACAGATTTTAAGGGCATATTTAGTCCCAAAGAAAAGTTGAAACACTATACTGTTACAACAAGATGTATCTTTTTTTTTTATTACAGGTTTTTATTTATTTGACAGAGAGAGACAGTGAGAGAGGGAACACAAGCAGGGGGAGTGGGAGAGGGAGAAGCAGGCTTCCCGCCGAGCAGGGAGCCCGGCGCGGGGCCCGATCCCAGGACCCTGGGATCATGACCTGAGCTGAAGGCAGACACTTAACAACCGAGCCACCCAGGCGCCCCACAACAAGATGTATCTTAAGTACAAGAATGAAAAGACGTAAAGATATAATAAAGTACAGTAAAATGTTAGAATCTAAATAGTGAACACCTTAAAATTCCTTCAACATTATGTTTACAATTTCTCTTAACAAGGGGTGCCTGGGTGGCTCATTTGGTTAAACATCTGACTTCTGACCTTGGCTCAAGTCTTGATCTTGGAGTTGTGAGTTCATGCCCTATATTGGGCTCCATTCTGGGTGTGGAGCCTACTTAAAAAGAAAAAAAAGAAAAAAAATTTATCTTAACAAAATGTTTGGGACAGGAGGGTGGGTGGGTAGGGAACACATCCTGGATAAGTTACTGGACTTAAGAAGAAAGAATCCAGATCAAGTCACTTACGAGACGGGAAAAAATTCAGGCTTACCTCAGACTTTCCCACAGAAACATTCAATGCTAGAAAACAATGAAACATGCTATCAAGTACTTAAGAAAGGAAGGGAGAAAAAAATCCATGAATTTCAAACACCAGTTTAAAATATAAGGATCACAGATAATATTTTAGAAGACACAAGAACGCAAGGAATGTTGTTTTTATGAACCCTTCCTTAAATCACGAAGACAGACATCAATCAAATGAAAAGTCATGACTCATCTATTTAAAATAGGGTTAAGATTTAAATGTGTTAGGATTATCATTAAAGAACATTAAGTTGAAATGAAAACATGATATTGAAGAGATATGTGCACTTTCATGTTCAGTCCAACATTATTCACAACAGTGACCGTATGGAAACAACCTAAGTGTCCATCAACGAGTGAACGGATAAAGATGTGGTGTGTATACGTACATATATATGTATGTACAATATACATATATATACACACTCATATACATAATATACATACACACAGACACACACACAATCGAATATTATTCAGCCACAAGAAAATGAAACCCTACGTTTCCAAGAACATGGATGAACCTTAAGGACATTAAAGCTCAGTGAAATATGCCAAAGAAAGACAAATACTGCATAGAACTTATATGTGGAATCTAAAAAACTCAAACTCATAGAAACAAAGTAGAAAGTGGCTGTCAGGGGCTGGGAAGTGGGGTAAATACAGAGAGGTTGGTAAAAGGGTAACAACTTTCACCTATAATAATAAGGCCTGAGGATTCAACATATAATGTAGTGACTACAGTTGATAACACTGTATTGTGTAATTGAAAACTACTAAGAGAGTAAAACTTAAGTGTTCTGCAACAGCAGAAAAATAAACAAAATCAGCTTTTATACTAAAAAAGAAAAAATGTCATAAATGTAGACAAATAAGACGCAAAATAAATAAAAGTTGAGAGGGGGGTGCCTGGGTGGCTCAGTCATTAAGCGTCTGCCTTCAGCTCAGGTCATGATCCCAGGGTCCTGGGATCGAGCCCCGCACCTGGCTCCCTGCTCAGTGGGAAGCCTGCTTCTCCCTCTCACACACCCCCTGCTTGGGTTCCCTCTCTTGCTGTCTCTCTTTGTCAAATAAATAAGTAAAATCTTTAAAAAAAAAAAAAAAAGTTGAGAGGAAAAGAGAATGGAGGAATAAATTATGCCTATTTCCTTGGGGTTTTTTTCCTTCAGTAATCAGGACCAAAAGATATTTAAAGGCAATATACTTCCACTACTTGATTTATCAGTACGAAGGCATACATAAACAGTGATAATCATAAAATTCCAGTGGTGGTAGAGGAGAGAGTAATAACAAAATGCATGGCAGAGTTAATCTCATCTATTGAAAGTTTGTAACTACAGGAACAAAGATAATACAAAAATAACCATGAAGAAAATTCAGGAACTGCCTCCTATGCTGATGATCAAAAACAGAGGGAGGAGGAAAAAAATAACCTGTAATAGTATAATGGAATTTGGATCCAGAAAGGATTAAATAAACATCAGTGAAGTACAAAAGTACAATTATTAGAACATATTGGTGTATCCATGAAGAATTAAGATTTACAAAACTCTGCTAAGATATATACATAAATATTCATTGAAGCACTGCTTTTACTAACTGGAAAAAGAACTAGATATCAATCAACAGAGGAGGAGCTAAACTAATTATATCCATTTAGCAGAGTATCATGCAGCCATTTAAAAAATGAGGCAGATCTTCTGTAGAAAGTAAAACAGCAAGGAACAGAAAAAGACAAATAGGGGATTTTTTGGTTATAAATAAATATACATATCTACTGACATATTCAAGTTTTCTTTTCATTAAGGGATATACAAAAGAAACTGTTAAAATACAGAAGACAACACTGTGACTCCTACAAGAAAGCAGAAGGTGGGGGCAGGGGAGGAGACACTTTTTCTGTACTATTTGAGTTTTCTATTTCCATGATAAGTCAACTAAAGAGCTGTTTCTGTTTCTGCACAGCCACAGAACAAAGATTACCTAAAGTCCCCCCCTTGACCTGAATAAACCCTTAGAAATGCTGTATGAAATGTAAAATTATAAAACTGTAAATTAAAAAAAAAAAATTTATCACCTGCAGACTTTTGCCAAAATAAACACAAGATGTACTTCAGCAGAAGTAAACCCAGAAGGAGTAGGCTACACTAAACAATGTGCTTTTCTAATATTATAAACCAAAATATTGTTAACAGGGGTTATAAACACACAAAAAGCAATGAAAAAAAGCTCATGGGAAATAACTTTGCAAAATTATTCTGCTTCAAAAGTCAAGCTTTAGGGATGAAGCAAATCTTCTAAGAGCTCAGAAGAGCTTTATGAGGCCAAAAGAAATGTTGTTCTTTGTCATCACTATATCCTCAAATACCTGTGTCTTCTACAACTGACATTAAAAAATATGTGAAGTAATGACTGTTATAATATTTTGTCATCATCAGCAACAAATATCTTGTAGTACAAATGCTTCCATATTTAATCAATGTTATGTCCTAACTATGGCACGACTGTAGATAGTGGCAAAGTGCCCAGCAGGCTATGAGCAGAAAACAATTCGTATTGGACAGAAGTACTAGAGTAATCATGGAGCCCAGGAAATTAAATTTTTAAAAATTTCCCAGTCAATTCTCATGTGTTTTAAAGCCACAAAACCACCAGACTAGATAACCTTGAAGATCTCTCCTCCATCTCTAAGCAGCCAATGATTCTGTAACCCTATCTTATAAAACAATTTAAAATTTTCTGCTAGAGACTTAGTTTATCTTAAACATATGTAATATAAATGAGTTCAATTTTCTTAGAAGAGTGAACTTACAGAACTGCTAAGTTTAGTGTCCAAATGAAACCAGAAATGTCTGACTAGTTTCTATAGTTGCTGAGCTGGATTTTGTTTTAACTTAGTTTCAGCACAGTTATTTAGTGACTTGATCATAAATGTTCAATAACCATTTACTGAACAGAAAAAACAAATAAACAACCCAGACTTTTAGGAATCAAGAATCTATCAAAAGGATTTAAAGATGAATGATGATCGTATTTTTCACTTTTTAAAGGAATACTGACTCTTGTATAAAAGAATGGTTTACAGACCAGGATTAAATGACAGTCCAGTAAGAAGGCTACTGAAGAAATCTAGCTAAGCATCCTGTGCCTTCATCTCTGGGGGTAGCCAAAAGAAGGTAGGTAAATGTTTACTGAAACACTAAATTAAAAAAAAAAAAAATTAACAGTAAAATAGAAAGCAATCAAATGCTTATTTTAAGAAATACAGAACTACTATGAATAGTTGAAAAAATGAGTGACAGGAATAACAAAGAAATTATTTGGAGAATTAAAGAACAGAAAAGGAAAGAGATAAACAATAAAGAAAGATAGGCATAAAAAGAAAACCAGCAAGAGGATAGGGGAGAAGTGAGCTTCTAGATATATTTAGGCACCTTGTCAATGTTAGGTATTTGACCAGTGAATATGAGAATAAATGATCACCCATTAGGACTGCTCTTAAAAGTTCAGTTGGCTCTGTCCCAAATGTTTAAAATATTCTTGCCAACTACAAAGAATTCAGTCTTCATGAATCCCCATATCTGTCAGCACACATGAATCTTTTTCACCCGTGCCAAAGAATATCCATCTGTATTCTTTTGACACACAGTACAATCTTAAATAGTCAGCATTTGTCATAATTCTTCTTTCCAATAAACAAAATCTTTTAAAAGTTTTTATTTTAATTCCAGTTAGTTAATATACAGTGTTACATTAGTCAGGTGTACACCACAACAAAATCTTGATATGTGACTTTATGCCAAATCTACACACCAAGAATTACCCACTGTGCTTCTCTTTTTGCCAGCAGAATAAAGTATTTGTTACAGGCAAAATTTAACAACCTTAATAACCTCCAACAATACTATGTATGTAGGTAGAACTTTTTTTTTTTTAAGATTTTGTTTATTTATTTGACAGAGAGAAAAAGCACAATAAGGGGGTGCAGCAGGCAGAGGGAAGGGGAAAAGCAGTCTCCCCACTGAGCAGGGAGCCAGATGCAGGGCTTGACCTCAGGATCCTGGGATCATGACCTAAGCCGAAGGCAGATGCTTAACCAACTAAGCAACCCAGGCACCCTTTTTTTTCTTTTTAAACGCGGAGCTTGAACTCACAATGCGGAGCTTGAACTCACAACCCTGAGTTGAGATCAAGAGTCAGACACTTGGGCGCCTGGGTGGCTCATTCGTTAAGTGTCTGCCTTTGGCTCAGGTCATGATCCCAGGGTCCTGGGATTGGGCCCCACATCGGGTTCCCTGCACGGCGGGAAGCCTGCTTCTCCCTCTCCCACTCGCCCTGCTTGTGTTCCTGCTCTCACTATCTATCTCTCTCTGTCAAATACATAAAATCTAAAAAAAAAGAGAGAGAGACACTCAACCAACTGAGCCACCCAGGCGCCAAAAACTTATTTTAATAAGGTATTTTTGCTTTTTTTTTCTCTCTTGGAAAAGGGAGATTTTCGTTTCTAATACAGTGAGACTTCCAACTATCTCCAAAACTCCTAACTGGCAATTTAAATAATAATAGGTATCAATGGGAAATACGAACGAGCCTTAAGAAAAAAAAAACATACCATATTTATATGAAAACCCATTTTTACCTTGCCTCATTAACATTAATTGGTGTTCATGCCTAGCTGCTTCCATTTCTGCTTCCAGTTTCTCTTTGGCTTCTCTGATGTTTCTATCAACCTGCTCACGCTGCTGCTTTTCCATTTCGTCAAGAGCCTTCCATCGAGATGCATACTCAAATTCAAAGGTCCCAGGTTGAGCAAAACGTGGCGGCTGTTCTCTTTCCCTAAGTTTACATTTGAAAACATACAGAAATGTATGTTTAAAAGTCAAAACAACAAATAAGATAATAAGGACTACCATTTACTAAGCAGTTACAATGTTTATGTCACTGTGTCAGGCAAGTAAGTACTTGACATGACTTACCTCATGGCAGTATTATAATTCATGTTTTAACAACCCTGAGTTTAAGAAACTGCCCAAGGATGCCCAGCTAGTAAGAACAGAACCAGGACTTGAACCTAAGCAATCTGATACTACAAGCTGCACTCCCCTAATTATCACCTTCAATAAGGCCTTTCTGGTTTTCACTCAACAATTTTAGATAAGGCAATCTGCAACACATGAATCAAATATACCCTAAATTGTCTAGAATTAATTTTTTTTTCTAAAAGTAGTAACTTTTAGAAAGTAACTTTTAGTAGTAACAAGCAGTTTGAGTGTTATGTGCTAGGTTAACTGGCTATGCCAAAAAATAAAGGCCTCACTTATAAATATGTCTGTGAATTCTTGTACCTCAAGAACCTAGCACAGTATCTGGCACATTGTATATATTTAACATTTCTTTCTTTCTTTCTTTCTTTCTTTGAGAGAGAGAGAATGAGAAAGAGCACGAGAGGGAAGAGGGTCAGAGGGAGAAGCAGACTCCCTGCTGAGCAGGGAGCCCGATGCGGGACTCAATCCCGGGACTCCAGGATCATGACCTGAGGCGAAGGCAGTCGCTTAACCAACCGAGCCACCCAGGCGCCCTAACATTTATTTCTTAAATGAATGAATAAAAGATCAGCAAACAAATGACCAAAAAATTTTTTAAAAAAATAATGATCTATGAATGTACCTGAAATTCAAAGAATTTTTTCAATTATTCTTGCCTATCATAGCTTCTATTAAAAAATATTAGTAGTGGTGCCTGGGTGGCTCCGTCGTTAAGTGTCTGCCTTCGGCTCAGGTCATGATCCCAGCGTCCTAGGATCGAGCCCCACATCAGGCTCCCTGCTCCGCAGGAAGCCTGTTTCTCCCTTTCCCACTCCCCCTGCTTGTGTTCCCTCTCTTGCTGTATCTCTGTCAAATAAATAAAATCTTAAATAAATAATAAATAAATAAATATATATATATATATATATATTAGTAAAAACATAATGTATAGAGGCCTTGCAATGCTAAATTTTAACTTTTATTTTAGGGTGGGGAGGGAAAGATGGGTAGGTGAGACAAATTTGGGAGATAAAAGGTGAGGCTGTCACAGAAGAAAAGATGTAATAACAAGAAACAGCTTTACAGATTTTCAGAGGTACATAAGGAAAATCAAAGTTAACCATGATCTGGTATTCTATACTTAAAAAACAAGACTTAGACATTTTCTTTTTAAAACACTGGAAAAAGGAAAGGAATGGGGGAGCTCAACCACCTACTCATTTTTCTGAAAGAATTATTTATTAGTCAGTAGTTCCTAAATCAGACTTTGACTACAATCACAAATATTAAAAAATCTTCATTTTCTCCAAGGGGAACACTACTGAAACAATATGGATATGAGGAGTTAGAAATTTGAATCATGGCACTTAGCCTTTGTGAACATTCCAATCTGAGCATAACTCTTTAGTAGCAAAACTGGAAATATGAGATCTTGTAAGGTTTGCTGGGTAATTAAATTATAGAAATAAATATTTCTAAATGCATATAAATTCCACTTTTTGTTAACACCCTTATAATTCCAGTTCTCTTAATTCTTGAATCCAAAGCTCTAGTTCAAATTTGTAATGCTAAACTATAACCAGAAAAAGAGTCAAGTGACTAGGAAATCATAGTAAGTCTTTGAAAAATAGCATTGTATGAGAAATTAAAATGGTTCTGAATTACAACTGATTATACTACTGATCCTTCTCCCCTAAAATACTTTCTTCCCTTGCTTCCAGGACACACTGCCAGTTGATCCCCCTACAGCAATGACTGTTCCACTCTTGTCTTTGCTAATTCCTTCTATGCTTCCCCAACTCTATATACTGGAGTATTCCAGGGCTCAATCCTTTGACATAGTTATCTATCACATGTGGTAAGTGTAGCTCAGAAAGCTCATCTAAATTCCAGATGCAAATCCAACTACTTATTTGACATCTCCACTTGGGTTTTGGAAACCATTTCAAACTTAACATGTCTAAAACAAGGTTCCTGAACTTCCTCCCCAAAAAATGCTCCTCCTACAAGATTCTCCAGATCATTAGCAATTTCCATAATTTCCAGTTACTTCGGCCAAAAACCACATAATCATGCTTTTAACTCTTTTTCTCCCACACCCATCAGCAAAATCCAAAGTCTGTTTTCAAACTATAGCCAGAATCTGACCACTTCTCACCATCACCACTGTGACCTCCATTTCAGCAGGCTCCTAAGTTACTATCCCCCCAATTCCACCCTTGGTTCTTTACAAATCTATTCTTAAAACAGGAGCCAAAAAAGCTACTGTTAAATTTAGGATTAAGTCACTACTCATAAAATACAAAAGTCAGTTCAATAGCCAGCAAGGCAAAACAATCTACAGTCCTCCCAAGGTCCTATCTCTACCTCCTCCCTACTATTTCCCCTCCCTACTCACTATGCTCCAGCTAAACTGGCCTCTCTACTGTTCCTAGAACTTGTCAGAGTTCCCTCCAGGCCTTTATAGGTACTATTTCCTCTGCTGAGATCACTATTCTCTCTATTCCAGCCCACTTCTGATCCTGCATAGCTAGCTTCTTCCTCCCCACTACTTCAAGCTGTTAATCAAATGTCACCCTCTCAGGTAGACTTCCCAAACCACCTGTACAAAGAACACACTACTCTGCTCCACAGCATCCACTTTCCCCAGTCTTTCTGCTGTATTTGTTTTACTAATGTTATCGTTTACCCTCCTTACCACCCCCCCCACATAGCATGAATTTCTGGCCTATTTTGTTCACTGACACATCTCCTGCACCAGGCATATAACAAGCATTCATATTTCTCATTTAAATCAACTACAAAGAAAAACATTCAACTGCACTAAAAGAACGCTAATTAAAATAACATGCATAAAATATCATTTTGAACAAAGGCTACCAAATCTTAAAATCATACATCCATCTTTTCGTCATGATGAAGAAAAATACCTTTATACATACACCAAGGAATGTAAATTGGTATATTTCTGGAAAACCATTTGCCAGTATTAATCAACTTTAAATATGCATACAATTTGATCTAAGCCTTTACACCTTATGTCAGTGAGTTTTTTAAATAGTAATTCTCACTATATATATTTTTTAAGATTTTATTTATTTATTTGACAGACAGTGAGAGAGGGAACACAAGCAGGAGTGGGAAAGGGAGAAGCAGGCTTCCCGCCAAGCAGGGAGCCCGATGCGGGGCTTGATCCCAGGACTCTGGGATCATAACCTGAGCTGAAGGCAGACGCTTAATGACTAAGCCATCCAGGTGCCCCTAATATATGTTTTATAATTTTTGGTTCCTTATTTCTTGTATAACTCCACCACCAGAAATATAAGCAGTAGGAAGGCAAAAACAGTTCAAAGTTGCACTGACAGCACGTCGAACAGTGTCTAGCACAAAAGCCCTCCAGTATTTGTTGAATTCATGCTTGCAAAGATGTTAGTTTTACCTACCCACACCCGTCCCAGTTATAAAAGTAGACTCAGAATTCTAAGTTAATGTTCTATCCATATATAAAAAAAGAATACCATTCATGTAGACCAGTCCACTCTATTAACCAGATTATATGACTGAACAGAACACCTTAGAATCTAACAATACTTGATAACAGATGTGATATAATAAATATCCTTGATATCACATATCTAAAATATCTTTATTAACAAAATCTTACTTATGATATTGTTGGGTTTTCTGCATTAGTTTCTCCGGCAAGCCATCTTCATCATCAAACTGCTCCATAGGCTCCACAATGACTGGACGAGGGGTCCTGGGTAGGTAAAATTGTAAGAGTTTCATACAGTGTCTGGAATTAACATCTCCCTAGAAATTCTTTATAATAATTCCAAGATATATACATGCGAAATTTCTCTCTTTTGAGAGTAAATATACTCTTGAGTCAATAAACATTTACTGCATCAGATACAAGTAAACATCTAAGTCAGACAAAGATGAATGCTTCTTAGAGCATACCCCATTCAAGACGACAGAGTAAATCAACATCTTTGAACCTGCATAATCACTGTAGTTAACTTTTACAAATTATAATGGAAAAGAATGAGTACCTAATTCATGTTTTATGTGGAATCATCATCCCCATATGCCACCACCTCAAATTCCCACCTCCCAGCCTCCCTGTGTCTAACCAAGTCTTGTTCAGAAAAGTCTTTCTAAAGCCTAAAATGAGGGATGCCTGGGTAGCTCAGTAGGTTAAGCGTCTGCCTTCAGGTCAGGTGATGATCCCAGGGGTCCTGGGATCGAGAAATGCACTGGGCTCCCTGCTCAGCAAGGAGCCTGCTTCTCCCTCTCCCTGCTTGTGCGTGCTCTCTCTGGCAAATAAATAAATAAAATCTTAACACAAAAACACCCTAAAATGACATCTAAAATACATCAGTCAAGCAGCCAGGCAGCTAAGCAAAAGGGAAGGAGGGGAGTCAGAAGACACAGACACATTCAAGGTGGAGGTTGGGGGCAGGGGGAAACAAGAGTGGGTGATGAAAGATACGACTTGTAGATGCTCCTTCTTTACTACTTTTCTAAGTAAAACAAAAGGATGGGAAAGCTCATTGAGCAAGACAAAACAAGGAAATGAAATAGGTATCAGATGATATGCTGATACTAAAATTTCCTCACTATTATTCATTAACTTTGTAAGGCTTTTATAGCCAAGCACAGAATTTTAAAACCACCACCACTGAAAGTACCCATGTATATTTTTTAACAATACACTTTCTTGTAGCTTAGACTGGACTCATTTCCAAAATGATGCAAAAGTATTTCTACCATTTTTCGAAATTAGCAAATACCAAGACTGGTGTGTTTTCAGTGATAAAAGAATGCACTGGATTCATTTTTGTCAAAGAGGATATTGTGGCCTGTCCAAGGAATGGATCAGGGATGATCAGCTGTATGAGAAAGAAGCACCTAAGGATTTATAGATCCTGTCAAACTGTTGCTGATATCATCATCATAGCTGGGATTGTTATCATTGCTATCAACACAATCACCTTCATGTCATCTGTAATAATACCCCTGGAGGGCCTGGCTGCCTAACCCAGTGGAGAAGAGGCTTTGGTTCTTCCTGCTCCTGCCACCCAACTGTCTCACACACACACAGATGAATATAGCATATTCATTTGACAGGATCAAACTGGCATCTGTACATGAAGATCCGTATCAAACTTTCTTACAGTTAGTGCCTTATACTAATACCAGAGCATCTCCTCTGGTAGTTGTGTTTTGTTAATTACATTTACTTTTTGGAACTACGTAAGCCTAACCAAAAATAAAAGATCTTTGCCTAAGTTAAAATTTCTTTTCCCTTGCTATCAGTCTCTCACTATGCAAATAATAGCAAATCTACTGCAGTAGTAAATCTGTGCATTAACACAAGGGCTAAGAGGTGAAGGGGTTTTCTGGATTCCAAAAGCTTCCCTTTACAAATAAATGAAGATCCTGAGAATAACAGAGACTTTTAAATCCTAAACTGCTATTAAAAATGATTACGGGGGGGGGGGGGGCGCCTGGGTGGCTCAGTCGTTAAGCGTCTGCCTTCAGCTCAGGTCACGATCCCAGGGTCCTGGGATCGAGCCCCGCATCGGGCTCCCTGCTCAGTGGGAAGCCTGCTTCTCCCTCTCCCACTCCCTCTGCTTGTGTTCCCTCTCTTGCTGTGTCTCTCTCTGTCAAATAAATAAAATAAAAAAAAAAAAAAGATTACCGGGGGGACGCCTGGGTGGCTCAGTCGTTAAGCGTCTGCCTTCGGCTCAGGTCATGATCCCAAGGTCCTGGGATCGAGGCCCGCATTGGGCTCCCTGCTCCGTGGGGAGTCTGCTTCTCCCTCTCCCACTCCCCCTGCTTGTGTTCCCTCTCTCATTGTCTTCCTCTTTGCCAAATAAATAAAATCTTAAAAAAAAAAATTATTACTGAGGTACCTGGGTGGCTCAGTCGGTTAAGCATTGGACTCTTCATTTCAGCTCAGGTCATGACCTCAGGGTCATGGTACTGAACCCCACGACGGGCTCCACACTCAGCGTGGAGTGTGCTTGTTCCTTTCTCTGCTCCTCCCCTTGCTTTCCCGCGTTCTTTTGCCCACCCAAATAAATAAATAAAACCTTTTTTAAAAAAGGAGAGCGAGAAAGAAAAATGACTATTAAAAATGATTCCTTTGGTGGGGGCACCTGGCTGGCTCAGTTGGTGGAGCATGCAACTCTTGATCTGAGGGTTTTGAGTTTGAGCCCCATGCTGGGTATAGAGGTTACTTAAAAATAAAATCTTTATTAAAAAAAATGACTCCTGGGCTAGTAAAGACATTTTAAATATATTTTTTAAAGATTTATTTATTTATTTGACAGAGAGCACAAGTGGAATGAATGGCAGAGGGAGAGGGAGAAGCAGGCTCCCCACTGAGCAGGGAGCTCGATGTGGGGCTCAATCCCAGGCCCCTAGGATCATGACCTGAACTGAAGACAGACGCTCAACCGAATGAGCCACCCAGGCACTCCACTAGTGAAGATATTTTAGACAGAAAAGGCAACAGAAGCAGGTGTGGAATACCTTGGGGTGGTGGACACAAGGGGATTATAGAAACCTCAGATAAACTGAGTGGAAACCCAAAAGAAAAGAGCCTTATAAGCCTCAATTTCAAGGGTGATAACTCATATCCAACATCTAAAAAATTGAAGTGTGGTCAAGACTGAGTAAATATAGCCTCAAAGATCACATGCAACCCAATGAAGTAGAAGAAAATAGCTGAGAGTTCCTGAACCCAAAGGAGGACCCAAAGAGGCCCAAGGACAAACAGAAGAAGATGCACTACATTGACCTCTTACCCAATGGAAGCCACAGCAGGACCACAAACATCAGAATAATAGGGCCAGATAAGAACTCCTCAGCAGAGGCCAACAAAGAAAAACTCACCCCTCCACTTCAATACCAGAAGGCCACTACCCCCCAAGAGAAAAATCAGAAAAGGAGACTCAAGAAGGAAAACATACTAAGTAAATCACACTCAGAACATGACAGAATTACTTAGAATTGACAAGATTAATTTTATGAAGTCAAGGAAATGAACAAAATTAGAGAATACAATGACATCTCTACTATACTCTCAAATAATGTTGAGATTGTAACTATAAATTTTCAATTTTCAACATATGAATATGGGCCACCAGACATACTTAAGACATGGGGGTGAATACAGCCCTGTGAGACAAACTTGAGCAATACAAACAAATGTTATATATTTATACCTTGTTCCTGGAATTTCATTTCTAAGGAGATACATGAATAAGTGAGGAAAGATCAGTCAGTCACAACCACATTCATCATATTACATAAAAGAGACCATGTGTAGTGTTCAAGAGAAGCCCTTAAGGGACTCTCTCATTTATTTATTTTTTTTGGTTGGGTTATATGCTAAAATGTGAACACTTATGGTTTCACTGTATGCACCACTCCCTGTAAAAATTCCCCTTGTCCGTTACCTCACACTTGTTTATTTCACTTTGATCTCTGTCGTTAATTTTTAAAGATTTATCTGAAAAAGAGAGCTCATGTGAGTGAGGGGAGGGGCAGGGGGAGAGGGAGACAGACAATCTCAAGCAGACTCCCCACTAAGCTTGGAGCTGGAACCCAATGCAGGGGCTCAATCTCACAACCCATGAGATCATGACCTAAACTGAAATCAAGAGTTGAATGCTTGGGGCGCCAGGGTGGCTCAGTTGTTACGCATCTGCCTTCAGCTCAGGTCATGATCCCAGGGTCCTGATTCAAGCCCCGCATCAGGCTCCCTGCTCCGCAGGAAGCCTGCTTCTCCCCCTCCCACTCGCCCTGCTTGTGTTCCCTCTCTCGCTGTATCTCTCTCTGTGAAATAAATAAATCTTAAAAAAAAAAAAAGAGTTGGATGCTTAACCAACTTGAGCCACCCAGGTGCCCCTAAAAAAGGTTTTTAAAACCTAACTTAAATTCTGTGTATAGGTACAATTACTTATTTACTTTTTATAAATGTAGGAAAATACTTCATAGAAAAAAAGACTAAAAGGAAGCACATCAAATTGGTCAACCATTAATGTTAAATCTGGAGTTGTTATCTGTACAGTTTTTCTTCTCCTCCCTTTGCCCCCAAATTAACCAATCATTAGTTTGGTTGTAATACTGATACTTGTCCATAGTAACTTTCACTTAAGTCAGTCAGTCCTGTGAAATCCTATCACTTGGAAGGGATCTCTGATCATGTTCCATAAACATCTCTTCAGATTTTCCTTTCTGCTAGATATACATAATCTTACATAAAATGAATCACCTATCCATGCTTTCTTCAGAAATCCTGTATCACTCAATAAAAAAAATGGCACCATTTCAGATGTATGTAATGCACCATAATTTTTTAACCATACATGCTGATGGACATTTAAGGTTTCCATGTTTTCTGAAATGGTACATAAAGATTTAACATATTTTTGAGTGACCTTTCTCACTTGTTCAAATATCTCTTTAGAAGCAGAAGGGTGAGAACAAGGTATTATATATACAGTACTAAAAACATAATGGTTTAAAAAATGATGCAACATCTTGTGTATGGAATTAAAAAATGATTATGTAATGATGTTTGTTTCACTGCTACATAATCCTTGTAGATATATATCATTTTGCAGGATTTTTCAATTTTAGTCTTTAATATAGTTGAGAATTGAAGAATAATGATAAAATAATTCTTAGAATGATGAAATAAGATGTTTTATGACAGAGGAAAAGTAAAATGACTAGGACCTG